ATCCTCAGGTTAGAAATGCTGATTACAAACACAAGCGTGAGCTTTTAAAGATAAGTTTTCCCTGTAATGCTATGATCCTCTGCTGTCACCTCCTCATCAAGAGGAAAAAGGATAAAAACTAACTACTGGATCGTACCTGCTGGTTAGTGGACACAACGACACACAACAGAACTCATGTTTTATATCAGTAGATCACAGATGCTTTAACTTTTGTAACTTTTTCACGGACTAGTACTAGCAGCTAACGCTAAAAACATAGGCAGTAAGCAGGAAGTGGAAGGGAGGAGCGTGGCATATAGGCAGGTGAGTAGGTTCTAAGAAAAAGCGGGTCGGATCACCTGATGTAAAAACGTTAAAGCTACGCCAAATCAACTCGAATAGAGTCCATGTTATTACATGGGCTTGACTCCGCCATTTTTTTAAAATCATATCTGTTTCATTTCCTGCTTCAGTTATTGTCATGTGGTTTTGTGAACTGGTGCATTCACCTTTGGCCCAAATGTTGCACAATCACAGCATCTAACTTTCATGACAAACACAAACACAGACTGTAGGTTCTTTAATCGACTGCCTTGATGTGGCAGCTTATTTCTTTTTATAACCAAACTGAGGATAAAGGCAGGCAAAACACTGCCTCTAAAGCACAGGTTCTCAAACTGGGGTCCCAGGACCCCGGGTCCTTAAATTTTTCCAGAAATGGTTATTTTGAATTTTATTTGAAAAATGAACATGAGTAACAATGCACTAGTAAAACAAACATACTAAACCAAACAAAAACATAATATTCTCATAATATTTAATTGTATATAACACAGTATAATAGGATAGGTTGGTGCCGTCAGGCCCAGGCCGCCCTTGAAAAAGAGATCTGAGATCTCAATGGGACTTGCCTGGTAAAATAACGGTGAATAAATAAATAATGTTTGGGGGTTAAAATGACAGTAAATTATTTCTAAAACAGCATGGGGTTTATGAGGGGGTCCCAGGAACTTTTTCACACTTGTAAGGGGTCCCCAGACCCAAAACGTTTGAGAACTCCTGCTGTAAAGAACGATTATGTCAATCATTCCATAATGAAACTACCAGTCGTTATAACCCTCAGATAGTTTTCATCAGTTCAAAAACATTTATTATGTCACCATCTCCTGGTTTTATTTACTTTTTCTTTCTGTTTGTCACTTAGATTATAAGTATTTGCAACATAGTGGTCACTGTGTATAATGTGATTAGAAATTCCTTGATGCTCAGTGAAGTTATGCACTGAGGCGTCTATTAATTTTACATCACATAGGTTTTATTCTTATTCCTCATATTAAAAGGAATATAATATATTTGGAGCCAAAACATCCTGTAAGAGCTCATTCAGTCTGAAAAATAAACAAAACAAAATAATCTTTGTTTTATCCCGTTCTAATGACTGCAGGGAGAACCAAACCTTTTCTCTCACATCTGCATCATGGTTGTTTTTCCACAGCAGGACATCTCTGTGGAGCGTTCCCTAGTTATTATGAGTTAGTGCTGTTTTGGGTTTGTTGTGTTGCAACAGACGGGGAAGAGGAGGAGGAGGAGGAGGAGGAGGAGGAGAGCCACTGCAGCCCAGTTATCTGGTCTCTCTCCATGTGGTTCAGACGCTCCAGCTTCAGGAAAATATGAAAAATAGATGAGAACTCACCGGTGGAAAAAACATTGTGTGCTGTGAATGGGGTCCACAGTTTAGTGAGAATAGTTATATTCACACTCCTTATGGGTCCTCCGTCTACTGCTGTTCTTACAGCTCTATTCTGCTGAGCCATCATGGAAAAACTGACGGTGCCTTCAGAAAAATACGGCCTGGAGTATTCTTGTAATAATGAGTGGGTGCAGCAACGCTGTGCCCTTTGCTCCTGTTAGGCACAGTCACCCTGTCTGCTAAAGATTTTAACAGGAAACATGAACAAATGTAGTGGAGAGCAGCAGTTATGGTATCAAAAATAAAAATGTCTCTGTCCTTCTCAATTAAAAATCTACAAAGAAAATTATTTCTTCATTCTATTTAAAGGGCCAATATTATGTGTTTCTCAGGCATACATTTAAATACTATACCATGATAAAGTATCACTAGCTGTGTTTCCATTGCAAATGTGCACAAAACTTTGTTGATATTCTGTTAATGTTGAAAA